TAAATGTTCTATAATAAAAATTACATGAAAATAATTGAACAGCACATTCTGAACAATATCTGAAGGATTATTAGATGTCATTTAATCAGGGCTGGCTCTAGGCATCAGCAAACCAAGCATGTGCTTGAGGCGGCACAATTTAATTTTTTTTTTTTTTGCACTTTGGTAGTTGTGCTCCCGGAGGACAATTTTTTTTTGCTTGGGGCGGCCAAATGCCGGCCCTGCATTTAATAATGCCTGTTTTATATAATTTTTTTAAAAATGTTGAAGACTCTAATTGTCCTATATTACTCAGATCAAATATCCTATTCTGAAACCATGTTATAAAATGCAATTTCATTCCCTTGGCTTATCTGTTACAACTTTTCAACCTGATTTTTTCAATGGAAAAAAAGCACCCTTCACTTGAAATTTGATTCTAAGAGGTTAAATGTATACAGAAGACTTTATGATTCAGTTCATGTTCAGCAACTCTGTAAAGTGGATATTGTCATCTGCTACTCATGTGACATCTTATATAAATGAGACAGAAAAGGTGGAACATGAACCATAGGACCGGGACCTTGAGAGGTCATCGAGTCCAGTCCCCTGCACTCAGGGCAGAACTAAGTATTATGTATTATGTAGACCACAGGTGTTTGTCTAACCTGCTCTTAAAAATCTCCAATGATGGAGATTCCATAACCTCTCTGGGCAATTTATTCCAGTGCTTAACCACCCTGATAGTTAGGAATTTTTTCCTAATGTCCAACTAAACCACCCTTGCTGCAATTTCAGCCCACTGCATCTTGTCCTAACCTGAGAGGTTACGGAGAATAACTTTTCTCCTTCCCTCTTGTAACAACCTTTTATGTACTTGAAAACTGCTATCATGTCCCCTTTCAGTCTTCTCTTCTCAAGACTAAACAAACCCAGTTTTTTCAATCTTCCCTCACGGGTCATCTTTTAATCATCCTTGTTGCTCTTCTCTGGACTATCTCCAACTTGTCCACATCTTCCCTGAAATGTGGCACCCAGAACTAGACACAATATTCCAGTTGAGGCTTAATCAGCACGGAGTAGAGCAGAAGAATTACTTCTCATGTCTTGCTTACAACACTGCAGTTAATAACCCCAGAATGATGTTTGCTTTTTTTCCCCCCATGTTGACTCATATTTAACTAATTCCACTATGACCCCCAGATCCCTTTCTGCAGGACTCCTTCCTACGTAGTCATTTCCCATTTTATATGTGCACAACTGATTGTTCCTTCCTAAGTGAAGTACTTTGCATTTGTCCTTATTGAATTTCATCCTGTTTTCATCAGTCCATTTCTCCAGTTTGCCCACATCATTTTGAATTTTAATCCTATCCTCCAAAACATTTGTGATCCCTCCCAGCTTGGTATTGTCCACAAACTTGAAGAAAATTTCTAGAAAGGCTCCTCTAGAGAGGTTTTCCTTATATTGTCAATGTTAGTTTATTACAATTGTGACCTGAAGGAGGAACATAGCAGTAAGTGCAAAAAACCCTGCTGCTATAACAATTTTCTTTGATTTTCAATCTTTCTTATAGGATCAGAGTAAAAGATACTGGTGAATAGTAAACTGCTCTCTACCCTTTTTGTTATTTCTGAATAATGTAATTATATTTGAAGAAAGGAAAACTGTCTACAATAGAAACTGTTGATGTACCATATACAATCTGGGGCACAAGTTAACTCAGGGAATCTTTCACAGTAGAGAGTAACAAAATCAATAAAGCAAAAAAACGCTGTTCTAGTATTCACTTCTAAATTACCAATAAACAGATATTATCAAGAAAGTACAGTAACTCCTAACTTAAAGTCATCCTGGTTAGGGTTGTTTCATTGTTACGTTGCTGATCAATTAGAGAACATGCTCGTTCAAAGTTGTGCAATGCTCCCTTATAATGTTGTTTGGCAGCTGCCTGCTTTGTCTACTGCTTGCAGAAAGAGCAGCCCATTGGAGCTAGATGGTGGGGGCTTAGCGCCAGGGTGGACCAGCAGTCCCCCTATCAGCTCCCTGGGCGGCAGCTGCCCAGCAGGCTATCAATTGCCAGGAAGTTCAGCTGTCCCTCCTCCCACTGCTACGTGCTACTCCTGCCCTCTGCCTTGGAGCTGCTCCTGGGAGCCTCCTGCTTCCTGTGCAGAGGGGGGAGGAAGAAGGGTGCTAATGTCAGGGTGTCCACTTCCCACCACTCTTGTACCTTATCGCCACAGAGCAGGATGGGGACATGACAGGGCTCAGGATGGAGGGAGTTTGCTGGCAGCAACTGCTGTTTCAACTTGTTGATCTACTTAAAAAGGCAGTGTACTTAGAGTGGGGTCAGCATATTTAAAGGGGCAATGCGTGTCTCTCTCACAAACATGGTGTGTGTCTCTGTCTCTCTCTGCCATGCTGTCTCCCCTCCCTCCATTCTTGCTGACTTGTAGAGTGTGAGGCTACATTAACAACAATATGCTAACCCTTGAGGGCTCAGCCAAGTGCTAGTTCATCATTTAGCAGTAAGGCATTCCCTGGGAAATATCCCACCCTCTGACTTCACTACCTCAATCAAGCTTCACAATCATCATTGCTTTGTACAGTATTAAATTGTTTAAAACTTATACAGTGTATATATGTGTGTGTGTATATATATATATAAAAATATAATCTTTTGTCTGGAGAAAGATATTTCCCTGGAACCTACCTCCCCCCCCCCCATTTACATTAATTCTTATGGGGAAATTGGATTCACTTAACATCGTTTCGCTTAAAGTAGCATTTTTCAGGAACATAACTACAACGTTAAGCGAGGAGTTATTGTATTAGTCAAATACATTCTATGAAGTCTCATGAATGGATGCTACTCTAACATGTTCAGCATTATTCAGCTAGCAGTAAATATAAAATCTTGTGGAATGCCCATCACAAACAGGATTAAAATGTTTAAAAAAAATCTATATTAATACACCTCTACCCCGATATAACGTGACCCGATATAATGCGGGTTCGCATACAACACGGTAAAGCGTGCCGGGCCAGGCCAGGGCTGAGGGGTTGGATAAGGGGCAGAGGGTCTCGGGGAAGTAAGGGGCTCCCCCTCCAGGGTCTGGGGGGCAGGAGCTGTGGGAGGGCACTTTTGGGGGCTCCGCAGTCCCAGAGTGGCCCGGGGGATTAGCGGGGGGAGCCGGGAGCAGCCCGCTCTGCTTCCCTCACCCCGGCCCCAGCCGTGTCGCTCAGGGGAGGGGACTTGGGGGAAGGGATTACCCCCACACTCACCAGCAGCGACACGGCTGGGGCCGGGGCAAGGAAAGCGGAGCGGGCTGGGGCCGCGTCGCTCCGCTTCCCGCCGCAGGTGAGTGCGGGGGGTCATCCTTTCCTCAACCTCCCTCCACTCACCGACAGCGGGAAGCGGAGCGCTGCGGCTGGGCGGTGGCGGAGTGGAGCAGGCTGGGGCCGGGCTGCTCCGCATCCCGCCGCTGCCGGTGAGTACCTGTCAGGGGGCAGGGTGTGTGGATAGGGGTCGGGCAGTCACGGGACGGGGGGTGGGTAGGGGATGGGGTCCTGGGGGTGATTAGGGATGGGGGTCTCTGGAGGGGGCGGTCAGGGAACAAGGAACGAGGGGGGGCCAAAGCAAGCTTGATATAATGCGGTCTCACCTATAACACAGTGAGATTATTTTGCCTCCTGAGGACCGCGTTATATCAGGTTAGAGGTGTACATGAAATATAGGGAATACTGCTAATAGTGTAGTAACATTATCTAGTTTTCAAAGGCAAAATTTGAAAGTTTGTAAAGGTGACTGCATTTTATTATATACACATCTCTATATACCTTATAGTTATTTTGGTTAGTTTGTGTTGTACATTTTTACAGATTTTATTTCAGAGATAAGATAAGAAACACACAGATAAGATACAAAAAATTAAGGAGTATTATTTCCCTGTTTAAAATGTAATTGAATTGAAATTAATTTTGTGGCTAAATTTTTTTTTTTAAGAGAATATTTCTTTTTCTCCAAAGTTAAGTCCAAAGCAGATAGCAAAGAGTTACAAAGGGATCTCATAATAC